TACTGACATTGTATTCAAATGAACCAAATGGCAACTGGCAATTAAATTTAGAAAACTTTCACCTCTTGCGAAAGGATGTTTACTTTTGGATATTACACTTTTTAACAAGTTTACTAAGAAACTGTATGTTTTGTGAGAGAAATATTTCCATATGCGTCGATCTGGTACCTAACTAACGCACACGAACCGGCTAAGCCAAATAAAATATTAAATTATTACACACGTTGATTTGTTTTCTTATTATTACTAAGAAATATCTTCATTTTCTTTTATATATTACTAAAAAAAACACATCCAGGAAATTGTGTTTTGCGAGAAGACTAATATTAATCTAACCTAAAGTGCAAATTATTAAAATAAAATAGTTGTTACAAATAGAGTATTGAATTATTACAAATGTCGACACGATTTTTGTTCCCTTTTTTATTTCTTTTCAATTGACACCAAAAACAGCACGGCCAATTAAATTATTAAATTATTACAAATATTGACTTTCATTTCCTTTCGTATGTTACTATAAGAAACATTTCCAAGAAATTATGTGTTCTGTGAGAAAAATATTTCATCTGCGCCAAGCTGGTACCTAACTAATACACACTGGATCAACTAAGTTAAATAAAATATTAAATTATTATATTGACTCGATTTTCATTTCCTTTTATTTCTTTTTAATTAGACAGAAAAACTTAGGCAAACTAGGTTAATTGTGTTTAATACAATAGAATTTTTATACAATAACAACAGAAACGTAGAAACTCTGAAAAATCGATTCATTCGATCCACCAAGGTATCCCGAATCATCGGTACGCAATTTCAACATTACACAACGTAACACCGGTGGTATCGAGTTTACTTCATCGCCAGCACATAGCAGACAGCGACACGTCACGATTATTTAACAGCTCGATAAAGTCTAGGAGTTGAAGTCACACCTCGAAATATACGAGCACGTTTCAAGGAAAACTCTCGAGGAAATTCTCGAAAGAAGACTCACTCGCTGCTGGCTACTGCTGGAACACGGCCTATTTTCCCAAATTTCATCCGCGACGTTTTCGTGAATTTCGAACACGCCGATTCTTAAATTACAATTTCCAACAACACATACGATTTTTAAATTATAATTTCCAACAATACATCACGCGAGTAAACAGCTGCCGTTCGTTTAGCTAAAATAATTTGAAAATTTTATAGAAAATTGTCGAAAATAATGTTTGAGATGCATTTAACCTCTTGCGCTGGAATATTTTCTTCCAAAAATGTCATATTTTCTCAGCTTTAAGTATATTTGAGTAAAACAAAATAGGCAAGACGAATAATAAATTTATTACTTGTACTAATAATTTCTATCCAGTGATATACCGACGAGTTCGAAAAAAAAGCAACGAATTATTGTATACGGCTTGGTCACTCGTTATGGTCCGCAGTCAGTTGGTTAAACCTCTTGCGCTCGAATGACGCGCCACGTACGTCGAGAATTTTTGTTCCAAAATTGTAATATTCTCTCAGTTTTAAGTATATTTGAGTAAAACAAAATAGGCAGGACGAATAATAAATTTATCGCTTGTCAGTAATTTCTATCCAGTGATGTGATACCGACGAGTTCAGAAGAAAAAGAAAGCGACAAATTATTGTATACGGTTCGGTCACTCGTTATGGTCCGCAATCAATTGCCAGCGCAAGGGGTTAACCTCCAAAATTGTAATATTTTCTCAGTTTCAAGTATATTTAAGTATAACCCAGGCAAAGCAAATAATAAATTTATTGCTTCTCGATAATTTCTATCCAGTGATATCATGCCGACGAGCTTGAAAAGAAAGCGACGAATTGTTTTATACGATTTGGTCACTCGTTATGGTCCGCAGGTCAGTTGCCAGCGCCAAATGGTTAATACGGGAGAGGAGATTTTTACTATGGCGTACAAGAGGAACGCACGCGAGAGAGCTGATTCGGCGAAATTTTACGCGATAAAACGAATGTTCGTAAAAACTAAGCAAGAGGGATTGGTTACGCCTGTCGTTCCGAGAAAGTCGTTGGTACGACGGATGGGGATCGGAGCAAAAACCAACTATGTAGATGGAGAACACCACCGCGCAAGTCCTTTCGAACGATTTCTTTCTTGTAATTTCTTTGGCCGAGGCGAATCGACACCGAGGCGGACAAGGCGCTCGTGCGATCGTCCAACTACGAAGGAAATGAATCGTTAACGAGTAAGGGTCCCGATGGAGATTAACGTTAATTGCCGGAGATGTCAAATCGAACCTTCGCGATGATCCACCACAAAGTGTGTAACATGCAGGGAAGAATAAATTTTCGCATTTGTCTTTGCGAAATATTTCTACAAAAGCGAAAGATTCGTTACAAATGTACGTACATAACGAGTTTTACAACCATAAGCTTGATATTCATATATACTGGATATTGTGTCTTTATTGCGACATCAGACGACAACAGAGTTAATAAACACTGCCTGCTTTCAAACGTTAGATACGTTATGATCTAATCGAGCCCACGTGATTCACAATACATCCATCAGACAGCAATCGTTATCGGCAAGCCTGTGTTTCTGACACTTCGTAGACACCCCTTGGAATATTCAATTCGACGATTAAACGTTAACATTTAACGCTCTTTCTTTGCCTACGTGTACTTCTTTTATTTTTATTTTATTTGTTTATCGTTTTTAATGCACCATTATATTGATATCAAGCAATGTATTTATAATTATTGCTGGCTAAAATATTGAAATGAAATGAAATTTGTCATTCTCCTAATAAACGTAATATGTAAGTGTCCTAATTCTTACATTTTACATTATAATTCTACGTAGCACATAATTCTTATATTTGCTTGCATAGTTTTGTATACAGAATTCTTTTATTTTCATAGTTAAATAGCTCCGGAATATTATACTCTTCTAACAGAGAAGAACGATAATTGAGACGTTGCAACGTTTGCAATTACCACGTCAAACAGTATCAAACAGTATCAAAGGGTATCAAACAATTTATGAATTCGTACTTCGGTTCTACTATATCATTATAATGATATCAAGCAATGTATTTATAATTGTTGCTGGCTAAAATATTGAAATAAAATGAAATTTGTCATTCTCCCAATGAACGTAATATGTAAGTGTCCTAATTCTTGCAGTTAGCATTATAATTCTACGTAGCATATAATTTTTATATTTGCTTGCATAGTTTTGTATACAGAATTCTTTTATTTTTATAGTTAAATAGCTGCGGAATACCAATATTATTATATTCCTCTAACACAGAAGAATGATAATTGAGACGTTGCAACGTTTGGAATTACCACGTCAAATAGTAAAACAATTTATGAATTCGTACTCCGGTCCTACTGCACCATTATATTGATATCAAGCAATGTATTTATAATTATTGCTGGCTAAAACATTGAAATGAAACGAAATTTGTCATTCTCCCAATAAACGTAATATGTAAGTGTCCCAATTCTTACAGTTAGTAATGTGTTCTAATTCTTATAATTTTATATTTGCTTGTATAGTTTTGTATACAGAATTCTTTTATTTTTATAGTTAAATAGCTCCGGAATATTATACTCTTCTAACAGAGAAGAACGATAATCGAGACGTTGCAACGTTTGCAATTACCACGTCAAACAGTAACAAACAATTCATGGAAAAATTACTTTCGACGACTCTGAATGAACTGTCCTGTATTTCCCCAACGCAACCCGTATTCGTGTCCCACGGATCGTCGAGACGTTCCCGATCCCCTGTCACGCCGATCCTCGGTCGAGTTTCCGAAGGGGGAAACGCTTCGTTGGAAGAAGAGGGATATGATAAAGGTTAAACGACGCCCGTTTACTGTTACAGAATGCAATTGGGTCGAATTACGTGAAAACGGCACGGAACGGGGTGAGAGTGAAATTCAATTAAGAAGAAGCGGACTCTGGTTCCTCCGCTAGCGTGGCTGCGCGCTAGTAGGGGAGAAGCAACGAATCCGCAGGGGCCGACGATCGGAATGTGTTATAGGTACATACATACATACGCGCGCGAAACGAGAGTGAAATCCTATCGATCGGATAACGAACGTGAAGCCCCGATCAGAGGGAAGGAATTAGAGGCGACACATAAACGCGAGTGGACAGTCGACGAACACCGGCGAATAAATGGCACGAGGATTTAACGTGCCGAGACGGGCGAAGAAGATCGGGAAGAGAGTGGGTGGGCGCGTTACTCTGGTAGCTGTTCATTGACTCTGGCCGCCATTACGAAAACTTCTCTTCGTCGGCTACCGCTGACCTCGTTGATGTCACTCGCTCTCGCGAGGGAAAACGCGTTGCGGGAAACGAATCCTGCGTGTATCGTTTATATAAGTCGTTGTGGAAAAATCAACGTGTATCAATTTTTCCGTGTATTAATTTTGGTACTGTAATAAAATAGAAACGTCGAGCGAGCCTGACGTCTGTTCAGGCACAAATGAAAGGCGTGTACCGAAAGGCATATGTACACATACATACGTTAGATTCCTTTCATAATCCGCTAATTATGTAAGATATATATCACAAGCTTTCGAATAACGTTCGCGGGATTTTGCACTGGAACCTTACATATTCGGCTACAGGCTACGAATATATAAGGTTCGCGAGCGGTGTGTTTGTTATTGTTGGAACGTGCGACGTATTCGTTCGTTGTCTACCCGTACGTACCAAGAACGTTAAATAAACGACAGTGTTCAGAATCCAAAACGGTGCCGACATATATTTTCTACCAGCGTGAAAGATAAATGTTTACGTGTAGAAGCCGTAGAAGGCAGCACGAACCGTGATTCACGCTGTCTCTATACGTGCCGGCGCGAAACCGTGTAAACAATTACTTTAGGTCAAAGTCAACGCGATCAACGTGCGATATTCGATGGAAACGGAAAGAAAACGGGAACAAAGAGCGTTCTTCCACGATCGACGGCGATAAAATTACGGCCTTTAATATAATGAAAAGTCGGTGGAACACTAACCTTATAATGGAGGAGCTCGGTTGAACGGTTCTGTCATTGCCAGTGTCTATTCTGCGCTCCGCGGCGGCGTTCTGCTCCTGCCTCTGCCTCTCCTCTTCGGGAGGATGCAACGGAATGATGATGTAGTCCGGCTCCTTTTTAACCTTCTGCTCGGTCACCTTGGCGCGGTTCACTTGGCCGATCGTGTCACTCTTTTTCTGCACCTCGGACCGCGGCACTTTCGACCTACCACTGAACCGAAGCCGCGAGAATCGTTGGAGAAATCCACCGAGTCCACCCTTTTTCCGTTCCTCCTTCACGGTGGTCGCGGACGACGCGTCAACGACCATGTTCCGCTGGAATCTCGCGGCGGATGGCTCGTTCTTGGATCCCTTCACGGGCGCCGCGACGAACGGCCGTGGTTTCGTTGTGGTCGTTGTGGCCGACATAGTCGCGTGGCCGTCGTGTTTGTCGTCTACCCTAACCGGCGCAGTTGTTGTTGCCGCCGCGTTCTCCTCGTGACGTTTGTCGCGATCACCGCGATGATTCGTATCAACTGCCACGGCCACCGCTGGATTCCCACTCCGTTCACTGGGTTCCAGGCCGTCGCTGTTGCTGCTACCGCCGAGTGGGGGGCAACGAACACCGTGGACAGTATGTCCCCTCGCTGCTTCCGTTGCCGCCTCCTCCTTCTCCCTTCTTGGCTCTTGCTCTCTCTCGTTCTTCTTCTCCTCCTCCTTCTCCTTCTCTTTCTCCTTCGTAACCTTCTCCGCGGAAGCCTCCTCCTCCGCCTCCTTCTCCTCCTTCTTCTCTGCGGCTTGTTTTTCCACTATGACCCTCCACAGCAGTTCTCCACCGGTTCTATCGTTGCACGCCGACGATCTACCCGATGACGATGACGACGACGACGACGACGACGACGATGATCGAATCGACGAGGAACTTTCGTTTTTCCTACCGTTTCCGTCCATCTCGTGCTCGACCGCGCCACGGTCCTCCTTCTGTCGCTGCAACCGCAAGATTTTTTCCGGATAGAAATCACCGATGAACGACCTCTTCGAGTAGCTCGTCGTCTCGTTCGCTGTGTCCCTCGTGACCGCGACTTTGTGCGAAGCGTTTGAATCAACATTTTTGCATTGCGGGGTTAATGATACCTGAGGCTCCTGGGCGCTTGTTGTTTCTCGTTCGCGTAGTACGCCCCCCTCCAGGCTGGAAGTTCCTATGGGTTTGGTTTCCAAGCAGGGTAAATCTATTTCCTCGTCTACTAAGGCACGGACATTAGAATCGTCTCCATAGGCTGAAAATGGATCCGAGTTTTTTTTTATCTGGCTGAAGAGCGTTTCCTCCTCTTGTTTCTTGAGCCGTTGGCCCAGCTGGTTGATCGGGACCCTGGTGAACGGGGCTATCGAGAACTGCGTCGAAAGATTCTCCGTGGACTTTGAGTATCTCCTGAGGTCCACGTACGGCTCGTTGTAGCTAGGCAGATTCGACGTCGAGCTGCTGCTCATTTGCTGCACCAAGTCGGAAACTCGGAGTCGCGACGATCGCCCGGAGATTGACTCCTCCAGCTCGTCGCAAGCGTCCATTCGTTTGAAAGCACCACGAGAGGATTGGAGAGCCTTGATGTAATCGCACTGTTGCGCCAGCTCGTAACTGGCGTTGTTCAACACCCGTTTACGTCCGCTTCTCAGCGACTTTTCACCACCGCCGTCGTTGCTGACGTTCTTGCGATGTCTGCTCGGCCTGAAGTTTCTCTCGTCGACTTCGAACTGCTGGGCCAGCTCGTAGCTAGCGTTGTTCTTCATTTTCCACGGCCGCTGTCTACCGGACGGAGTTCTCTGGACACCGTAGATACCGCTGCTATTGGAGGTGGCCTCGTCGACCTCGCGCTTCAACTGCTTGATCGCCGCGTCCACCGAGTCGATGTCATTCTCCATGACGATCGCCATGTCGAGCACACAGTTGCCGCGATCTTGCGTCTTCACCGTCGAGATCAGTTGCTTCCTTTCACGCGGCTTTGAACAGTGCTCTCCTACGCACTCCTCGCCCTCCTTTCGCTGCTCTTCCGCTGCTTTCTCGCTCTCCACCATCCTTCCGTCCACCATTCTCTCCGCAAGGTTCTGCGAGGCTTGCGTTCTCACGGAGCTCGTCAACGTGTTCTTCGCCTGTTCCTCGCCTTCCTCCTCCTCGCCGCCGCCGCCGCCGCCGCCACCGCCGTTCTGTCGAATTTCCTCGGCGCTTTCCAGCCGCTTCTTACCCTGAACGACCGAAGCTTCCGCCATTTCGTGGTGCTCGTGCGTCGTACTCACTGGAGAGCGGCGTGTATCATCGTCGTGCGTCGCGTGGACGCCGCAGAGATTCAAATCGACGGGCACGCTGGCGACCCTGGTGTAATTCTCAAACAAACTCGACGTGGAGACGAAGCAGGCGACTCTCGACGACGAGGCGTACGAGGTGAACGAGCGTGGACCGTGTGCGGACTCGTCGACGCTGCTAGGCAGACTGGGCGCGCTTCGAGATTTATCCGTGAATCTAAAATTAAAGCACTCGTCGTTGCTCCACCCTTGACGCTGGTGCTGCTCGTGCTGCTCGTATCCGTGGAGCTGGTGCTGCTGCTGCTGCTGCTGCTGCAACTGATGATGATGGTGGTAATGACGATGATGATCGGCGACCATGTTGTTGCGACCGTGCGCCATACTGCCGGCTATATTTAACTTGGTCTGCAGCAGACGAAACGAACTCGAGACGGCCGCCTGGCCAGACTTCAGGTCCAACAACGTGTCCCTCTTCGATTCGACGCCGATCTCACGCAGGTCGATCGTGTTCCTGTAGTCCAACGACGTCGCGTAGTTGCACGCGGAGTCGCCGAACACCATCAGCCGATCATCCAGCTCGGTCCCGGCTCGACCGTCCTTCATCATACGATCATCCTCCTCGTCGAGATCCTCGTCGTCCTCGTCGTACTCTTCGTCCTCGTGGACGAACTCCCTGCTGCATCGAGTGAAAGAAAACCGTTCCAACTACAGTTAGCAACAGACGTGGCTCGTCTCCCGTGTGTTTCTCGGGGATTTTAGATGCGCTTGCACTATACTACGTGATATGTTAATCCCAACGTATTAATATTCATATCGCATTGTACGTATTAACATTGCACCAAGTGCATCTACGACTATTAATTTGCTACGTACGTCAAGTACGTCAAGGGTTCAACAATAGTTACGCGCAGTTGCATAATCCTGATGAATATTCTGTAGCTGATATCAAGTTCAAGTAAAATCTTTTTTATTCATAAGACAGGAACAATGGAGCCAAGTCACACGTCACTGCGTGTGACGTGTTCATTTACAAATTCGCAAGTTCGAGAACAGTGAAACTTGACTCAAAAGCAGAAGTATAAATGTAACATAAAATATCCAATACGTTGCTCTCGAAATTGAACAGTTACGAAAACGCTATTTTTCACTTGATAGTAGATAAGGATATTTAGAATGAAGCACACACGTGCGTCGGATCTAAAAGCACGAAAAATCGTGGAAGTTTGTTCAAGGTCGCGATTGCGGAAATTTGGCGGTGGAACAAGGGTCGTGTAGCAAGCTCTCGAGAGTCATTGCCAAGAAAAACCTGCGACCTACGATTGTTCGTCTCTCGTGCAAGATTTTGCACGCGTGCAAAAACCCGTGACAATCATAACCTGCGACGATGACTATCTTTTGAAGAGAAACGACTGCAACGGTTTACACATTTTCGCTCGAGCTGCTCTCGACGCGCGTGATAGCGAAAATATCTTCGCGAAGAATAGCATAGAAATCGCAAGTAGAACCTCTGTTATCGAAATATTTATTATTCAAACAGCGCTCTGACGGTTCTAAAACTGCGATCAAAATATTTAAACATCGACTCGAAACTCACGACGCAGAGCAGGCTAATGCAATTTTAATAGAAAGGCGAAGCTCTGTTTATCTATCTCGCGGACGTGGCTCGATAGATTCGATTTATAAAATCAATAGCTATGGAGTCTTCAGATAAACAGAGTTAAATCTCATTCACTCTGGGAGGAAATGATGCAAATACAAGTCATAATTTCCGTTTAATTCGAATAACAGAGGTTCTGCCAGTGACGCAACAGAGGATAAGAAGACCAGCCGCTTGCCAAATGAAATAAACCGCGTGTACGTTACCTTGGACGATGATAGCCATTGTAGACATTGCTACGCGTTCTCGACGCGTAGTCTGTGTTTCGTTTCAGGTACAAAGGTGCGAACCCATTGATGAGATCACCGTGGCCAAACTCTTCCTCCTTTTGACACGTGTCCAGGCTCTCGAAGCTACGGTAAGGCCTGATCCTGGAGAAGTGGTCCACGGTGTTCCCGAAACCGTTCGGCAAGACCTTGTCGTAGTCCTGCTCGAGGCTATCCGGCGACGTGTTCTCAGGGTGAGAGGCGTTCGATCGATTCGGATACTCCAGCGAGTCGAAGCTGTAACTGGACGGCGACAGTGTGGCACAGGTCCTTTCTAAAGATTCGAATTGTAATAGGGAGCTAGACCTTGAAGAGGCGGACGACCTCGATGACCTAGGCGATGCTGGATAGTCGTCGAAGGTCGCCTGATGCTCCCGTTGATCGCCGGTGCCGTTGTACTTTCGACGTCTCTTCTTCGGCACCACGGAGTTGCATTCGCTGCCGCTGCCATCCAGCCTCTCGTCTTTCCAGAAATCACCAACAAACACGAAACGATCAACGATTGGGAAGAAGAGAAAAAAGAAACAGAGAAAAAATATTCATCCGGTACAAAGTTCAATTTGCTACTTTTACCTATTAACGCTGGAACTACTGACGATGATCAAAACACAAAGATCATATCGAGGAGATTTGAGTGCAGAGAAATGAATAGTAAAATGTTTACAATACAGTTTAATCGCGTACTTTGTAAAAATTGCCCAAATCATTGAAAACACAACATTGCAAGTCTGCTTCAGAATTATATTCTGAAAAATTGCAAACTGATCAGTTTGACCACATTTTGGTAGTTCTAGCGTCTTGTATAAGCTATACAAGGATTCGAACTTGCCACATTCAAAAAATAAAAACTACCAAAAATCCAAGCGTCTCGAAACAGTCTGCGAAACAGAAGGGTACAACGGCACACAGTATCGTACACAACACATTCCAAGCTACTAATTACGCTTTCACTCGGAACGTTATTCACCCCACATACGAAAGTCCGTACACGTAATTGCGTCTACTTACGAACGATCGTCAAGAGAGTCACGAAGCCATGCGTAACGTAAATCCGACGTCTCTCGCGAATCTACATTATATTTTATTTCGCGTTCCTCCTCTAAGCCGCTACTTTGTAAAGCTTCGTTCAAATCGAATAAATTACTCGGAACCGTGATCGCCTCGTTTCGGCTAATTTCAGTTTCAACTTGCGTTGCGCAAACAAATTGATTTCCAGGGCAGAAAAGCTACGGCGATAAAAATGCAAATTCAGGGGGTTAGGAGGGAGGCCGATCGAATGGATCACGACGTCGTGAAACGCGTCGTTTGCCGATTAACTGAGCCGTTATCGAAGGGACTCGTGTCGTCGATCACGTGTCCGGCGACGGTCACGAAGCCGACAACCGGTAAGCGACCGTGTAAGCGTCGCTTCCGGTTGAACGAACCACGGCTTCCTGCCCTGTCCGCCGATGGAACGAACGCGACGATTGCCCACCTACTCCCGCCCGAAGACCCAGTTCCGTGACTTGACTTTATAAAACCGGGCCGCGGACTACGGAATTCTCAAACAGCCTCAAACAGCCGACCGATATCGAGTTTCTAGCGCGATAACATTGCCGATAATATTGCAATAATAATTTGAATTGTAACTTTCGAACGTGTTGCAACATGTAGCAAAAATAGCTGTGAGCTTGGTTGTAACAAATGCAATAGGCGTTCCAATAATTTATTTACGTGGGCAAAAATATAAGAAAAAGAATTCATTCGAGGCGTTTATTAGTTACTGACATTTAGGAGTTATTTAGGAGTGAGAGCAAATTATGCCTGGTGTTGGACGAGCTTTTCTACATGGGTGAATGCTGGGTAGCCTAAGCAACGGGGAATGCAGTGGTTCTCAAACGATCGTTTATTTCGTATGTAAAAGGACAGTAAAATCAACTCTATGGAGTTTTCTAAAAAGGGGGTTACAATACCGCAAATTAGTTTGTTAGATATAGCGAAATTTCGAGTCGAACGAAATGCACGTAACGTCCAACAAATTTACGTGTTAAATTCTTGCACATGCGGTTGAATTCTTTCTTCTTTTTTTTGTTTCTTTTAATTTATTATCAGGTCTATGTTTGGCCTATGTGCTGTATAGTCTTACATGCTGTAAGACTTCAATATATGCAAAACATCAAATGGTATACATAAGAAAAGTGACTTGATGTAACAATATATAAAAATACATGGAAAAATAAATAAGAGAAAAACATAACAATGTAAGTAATGAGAAATGTGATGACCATATTGGCTTGTTCTCGAATTCTTCCTTTTCTGTAACGTTTATACTCTCATGTTGTTTTTATATAGCTGTCATATATATGATTTTCAGCGGTTTGATTAAGGAACCTCTTAACAGCTACTTAACCACTTGAGCTGGCAACTGATTGCGGACCATAACGAGTGACCGAACCGTATACAATAACTCGTCGCTTTCTTTTTCTTCTGAACTCGTCAGTATGGTATAACTGGATAGAAATTATCGAGAAGAGTGATAACTTTATTATTTACTTTGCCTGGGTTATACTTAAATATACTTAATACTGAGAAAATGTTGCAATTTTGGGGCAAAAAGTTCTCAAAATGCGTGGTACGTCATTCCAACGCAAGAGGTTAACCACTTGCGCTGACAACTGATTGCGGACCATAACGAGTGACCGAACCGTATACAATAACTCGTCGCTTTTTTTTTCTTCTGAACTCGTCGGTATGGCATCACTGGATAGAAATTATCGAGAAGTGATAAATTTATTATTTGCTTTACCTGGGTTATGGCTTAAATATGCTTAATACTGAGAAAATATTGCAATTTTGAGACGAAAGTTCACGACGTGCGTGGCACGTCATTCAAGCGCAAAAAGTTAATTGCGTATTTCATGTGATTTTTTTTCTTTTTTGATTGATCATGAACTTCGATTTACTTTGAGAGAAGCGACATCTGCAAAGATTTCCAAGAATCCAAGCAGATAAACACTGTGAGTCGCTTTTCGGCGTCCGAACGAATCCCGTTTCATCAACGTCAGCTGACTTGGAATTCTCTGCCGGTCGGTCGGACGGTGGCAATTGAATTTACTCAGCGACGCATTGTCCTGTCCGGTTTATTTTTGCATGATTGCATGCACGTGGAATCCAACGGCTAGTTCATGGTAATCCTATATGAATCACATTGAAGGTGATCTAATATTAGACGCGACGGAAGAGAATCGCGCGTAGAATTGCAGAATGCAATCTTGACACTGAATACGAAAAAGTAAATCTTTATTTGCCCTGGGAGAAAAAGAAACATTCCTCGTTTGAAGAAAAACGATATATTTATTGAAAGCTAAACGAAACTTTCTGTTCGAAGGTTCTATCGATATAGAAGAAAAATCAGTGACATCGAAATGTTAATGTCGTTGTTCGAGTCCAGTCCCGCAACGGAATTTGAATGTAGTTAGCAAGGATGATTAGTAGTTTCACAATGATCCAACAACTTTTAATGAAAACGCTCAACGGTGCTTGTGCGATAGGGATAGCCAGCGAGGATCTTGCAAAGAGAAAAGATTAATTGCCCAAGATACAATTACCTGCGTAATTAGCGTAACAAGTGGTCGCGAAGTTCATTTCGAAGCGAAGACACACGAATCAAAGTCGAATCGTTCGCGTTTCTCTTTCGGTGATTAGCATCGATTGATATTCATAATAATAATATATATATATATATAATTTATATTTATAATATAATTTATATTAATTTATATTTATAACATAATTTGTATTAATTTATATTTATAATATAATTTATACAAATATATTTATACAATTATATATATAATATATATTATATTATAAAAATAAATTATATATTTATATTACGACTCGCGAGACGTTTAAAGACGACCCCTGCTGCGAAAAGTACGTGCGCGAGTTGCACGACGCCTGAGGAATGGCAACCGGGCATACCGACACGTTACGCCGGTCGCATAACCGAAGGAATCTGGTACGTGAACGATCTCAAACAGAGGTTCGAAGCACAATGTAACGTTACTCGACAACAAACAATATCTGAAAAACTGGAAACACCGTGGAACGATATTATTGAAAAGTTACTCTTACTTTTAATTTATTCAATTAACTTTACTAAACTTACTGAACTTTTAATTACTCTTACTTTTAATTTATCGAATTGACGCAGTAATTATTTTCTACCTAGTTTCGAAGCAATCACATACACAAAAAAAAAAAAAAAAGTACAATTAAAAATCTCTTTGATGAGTCTCTGAAGGACACAAGTATTTAAGGTACTTTTTTAGCACTCTGGATATTAATTTTTATTGACTCAACCTGTAGAATTTCTTTCTTCACTAACTAAAAGGAGTTGAGAATTTTGTAAGTATGTATGTAAGTCTGTTACGTCACTTTGATCGTGCAGTTTTTCTACTGTTTACGTTTTTTGTTTTTTTTCCCTTCCTAGCCTTTCGTTCGTTAATATACTTACACTTCTGCTTTTAAATAGCCTCGTTATATCACGTTTAAACGCTGTAATTAACTCTGCCTGTTCTGTCAATGTGTGTGTCAATGACACCGTCTGGTAACCATGGTTATATCATTAAATTCGTGCTAAATTGCATTCCATCGTTGCAATAGAAACAAACTGGCGTGTAATGAATATTATATCCTGAATAACTTCCCGTTAGATTAGAGGCAGAATTTCCTATTTACGCGATGTTCGCTTAGTGAAAAGCGAGGCGACGTGCATTTACAACAATTGTTCGTTATTATACAAGGGAAACGGGTTGTGAGTTACTAGATACAACTGTCTTTTGAATAAGTTACGAACGATTCTCTTCTGAATGAGGCATGATTTCATTATTCGAGAGTCAATGAATCAGAAGATCAAACTGAAAAGAGAAAGTAGACCTCCGGAGAACAATGCTCACCGGCTCAAGTACTGAGTGAGTGATGTGAGAATGAGATTTCATAAGATATACATTCCGAGGCAAAATATCGCTTAACTGACTTTTTAACGTCGTACACGTGTTGCACGCAACAGTATAACGCAGTGCGATGATTGGCAAAACTCGTCATACTGAGGCTCGTTAGAGAACACAGATGAGAATGATACAAAAGATAAAAAATTCGTTTCCTTCATTAGCACAATTTTCGTTTCTTTCTTACAATGTTATCTGCCAGGCACAATACTTCCACTTTTCAGCTACACATTCTTTCACCTGTCGCTATTACTACGTTCCATTTCTCCATCAATCTTCTGGATCTACGCCTAGACCTCCTTTTTCAAACCGCCTCTCCTCAAATGAAAAAATTATCTCGTTCCAACAACCGCAAGACAATGGAATCTTGCTCCCAGGATAGTAAATCTTACTGTATATAGTCCGGACAATAGAGTTTAATTTCGACTCAAACTCAAGGCAAAGTCTAATTCCGATAGCGAGGCGATTCCACTACAAGCGGCTAACATAAGTAAGTTAATTGTGTGCCGAGAACAATTAGAACAATTTATCATATGATAAACCAAGTCAATAACTTCCGTTGTAGTCTAACGACAATGTGACACAATGCACGATAATTCATTATTAAAAATAGCCGAATTCGGCTTGCAAAGAGAATCGTGCGAGCGCAGCTTGGCAATTGGTCGTTGAATAGCGCAAGAATAGATTGTCGCAAGTGCAAGACTAGTATAATTATATAACAATATCAATTATTAATTTGATTATTAAAAAATGTTTCAATTTCAATCGTTTGATTAGTTACTTAGAAAATTCAAAACTGAAAGTAGAACAATTTTTTGGAGCGCGCGGAATATTGATGATCGTGTAAATTTGTGGACGTTAATTGGTAATTGAAAATATTGGAATTTCTTTCTCTGTCGCGAATAACAAAATGGTTGAAAAATCGATAAGTGTTGTTCTAAATGCTAGTAATATTAAATACGCATTATTATACATATATTTGTAAAAGCTCGAGAGTTTGTAATAATATCTTTGTACTTATCTGAATTTCAGAAGAGCAGGTACTTGTCCCACTGAACTGATTTACAAATGGAACAAATGGAAATAGAAAAGTTTGGCAGTTTTAGGTGGTGATTCAAAAATGGTTGTAAATTATCCGTGTAAAAGAGATTTATAGGGCGTACACTATAGTCTGGAATATTTTCAAGTCAAGAAGTCTCTTCCTAGAGTAATTAATCAGTTTCCATTTGATCAAAATTTCAAACACAAAAAAAAAACCACTCTACGTCTCTCATAGTATGACTAAAAACAAAAATTGAGAAAAAACTTTCTGAAAAAAGAAAAAAAGAAATTTCTATCGAAAACGTAGGACAAAATAAATCTAAAGTCTCGTTGGAATTCTGCTGCAAAACATCGTGGCAAGGGTAAGTTTGTTTCAAGTCCATTAAAAGGTAACGAAACGAGTGGCACGCAGCCCACCATGTTTGGACTAGTTGCCAAATTGATATTTGACAAGGTAATCCAACAGTTGTGATATTTTTGGACTTATTGTTAGACAATACGTGGCGTACATGTCAGTCAGGGGAAGATACGTTTAGATACGACAATCGTCTCTAGGTTTCTTACCGGCCAATCTTTGCCTCGCTCTTATGTGTATCACGCTTTCGGTTTCAGAGTCTGAGCCAACCCAATAAGTGGTCCCACTCCGATCGGAATCACTTTGCAGATCGTCGGATGTTTCTTCTAGGATAGTTTCTAGAAAGTCCACTTGCTGCAACAGCACCGTATCTGCAAATCAAAGCGAGATGTGTTTTAATAACAACAAGTGTGGCTTTCACATTAATTGGTCGTGTATAATCTTAATTAGTTTTCACAACACTCCTCGCTGCTCTGAAGAAAATAGACAAGTTCAAAATTATTACGACGAGAGTTATTACTTGAATTTCATAATGGAAAGAATATAAATAGACGTTTCCAGGTTTTGAATATTTTAATTCTCCTGCATTTTTGCAGTTGTTTTTTTTATCCATTTTCTCTAGAGGAAAATATAATAAAATTGCACGATTGCACGATTCTTCCTTTGATTTTTAATCAAGTCTTTTAATGAAAGTATTTTCTTATTCTATTCTTTTCTTATTCTATTCTTATTCTTATTCTCTATTCGTTTTGTCAAAATCAATCAGTTGATTGAAATTAAACGTACTTTCACTTACGCATAATATATTAAGCATAGAAATTAAATCTCTGATCAAGGCTACGATTTCGCTCATGAAATTATGTTTTAATGTCCATGCAATTCGTTCCAGAAACTTCATGGTTATAAGACGATTTCAAGATATTGTGTAATTTAAATTAAGCTATTGTATACATACTATTTCCCACGGCACACGTAAAAGTGTAGAAAATTAATGAATATTAAATAGAATATAAGAAAGAGAGTACGATCATGAATATTTGATTTTTGTCGGTTATTAATTATTAATAACAAAGAATATGACCTGACATTATTTGCTATCATATTATGATATAACGTTTATTTTTCCTTTTTCTGCTTCAATATCATCATTTTTCTCTACCTTTCAATTTATGTAGTCGATCAATATGGCGTTTGAATATTTCCATTGCAATAAATTACAATTATATTCTTGAAATTTTAGCACAATAGCTAATATACAGGTAAAGCAGGTGAAATAAATTCAATTAAACAATTGTGTTATTTAATTTTTCTTCTTCTTTTCTCGTCTATCACCCTTGCCTCCTCCTCCTCTTTATCATCCTCTCCTGCTCTTCCTTTTTTTTATCACCTTCTCATTCTCTTTTCTTTTTTATCACCATCCTTCTTTTTTTTTGTCACCTTCTCCTGCTCTTCCTTTTTTTTTTATCACCCTCTTTTCCTCTTCCCATCTTTATTGCCCTCTGTTCTTCTTCTTTGTTTTATCATCCTTTCCTCCTCTTCTTTTTTTTATCTTCTGCTCCTCTTTCCATCTTTATCCTCTTCTTCTAACCTTCCCTATTTTCTTGCACTATCGATCCCTATATACAAGGTAATCTAAAAAAAAGTTGTACAATTTCATCAGCAGGCATAGCGATCTTTCTCTTTAATTTAAATTTTTATTTTATTTCAGTTCTTGGGAAATGTCTCTTTTCTTCCTCTCCTTCTCAAAAAGAAAAAAAAAAAACGAGAGCTTACGTACAACGTATTGTCACGTAGTTTCTTATACATTCCACGTTAACATGTTAATGTATTTATAAATTCGAGCGAATCACGTTCGATATCGTGAAATATCATCGTTCGGTCTATGTGTGTGTGTGTCTATATAGGAGAGAAAATTTATACACCACGATTTCAATCAAACTCGAACGTTTGTACGATTTGTGTTCCATTCGTGAAATTTCTTATCGCGATCAACGTACATATATCCAATTGTCAAAGAACAGACTATGGAACAGTCGGCAGGTAAGTTAGAAAAATTCTCATCAAATTGAAAGAGTTCATCGTCAAAAGTAAACGTTCTCTCAATAAAACTCATCATAAAAAAATTTCACCGATGCAGGCTCGAGCGGTTGCTTCTTTTTACAAAATCCTGCGATCATCATACTCGTTTTTACGTTTGCATACGTGTACTTTGTTTTGCGATGCGGTCAAAAGTGTATGAGAGATAAGTCGGCATATACTCTCCACACGTTCACCAGATGTTACAACATTTTTCAAATCGTGTCAAATGGATTGTTCGCGTATCATATACTCAAGCACGGACTTCACCAATTCTTGTTACCTGGCTGTGATGTACCCGATTCCAGCGTTCCTCTTTTGGCACAGGTATGATTAAATCGAACATTAATCAAAACGTTGAGACTGAATCAACGCAACGAGATGAACACAAACGTGATACCTGACTTTAATTTCTGTACTTAAACGAATAATCTTTCGTTTCAGACGAAAACCATCGAATGGTGCATATTGTGCTCGAAATTTGTTGATTACATCGAAACGATCATATTGCTGCTCGAAAAGAGGCAACATGAAATCACGTTGTTGCACTTGTATCGCCGTATTTCCGCGCCATGGATAACTTGGTTCACCATGAAGTATTTCATCGTTGGATCGTCCCTGACGTTTACGTTACTCAATTGCTCAGTGCATGCGATGAAGTATACATCCAATCTTCTTTCATCGTTTGAGCCGCTGTCAAACTCGTTGATCACTATCGTAGAAATGGTGAGTAAGAGAACATATTTGTGTATTCCAAATTTTATCGCACTCTCGTACGTTATTATCATATGTTATAGGCGCAGCTGTCTATTTCAATATTGTACGCGCTACAAAGTTTCTTCCTCGGCTGTTCTATATCAGTACTTAGAACCTCTGTAATACTGGCTGACCTATTGATCAACCTCGTTTCTTTGTAACTTTTACAAGTAACTAAAATTATTAACAATTGTAAGTAGACGTTATTCAAGAAATTAAATATCACTGGTGAAATTGACAATTAAAAAATTACCTAGCAAAGCTCTGTCATTCTACATTTGATGAGAGAATAGGATCGCGATACTATTCCTTGTTTTTTCCTTGGTTGTTTTGTACCAACACTTAGAACCTTTACGATACTAGCTGACTTA